GTGTAGGGAGGGGACGTTAGGCCAGGGCGGCTTCACCTCCCAGAAGAGCCTGAGGAGGCTGGTGGGACAGCAGGAGGCATGAGGTCTGGGGCCTCTCACCCCAGGGCGACCTCCTTGGCTGTCACCCCCTGACGGGTCCTGTCCGTTGCTTTGCTTGGTGCCTGTCTGTGTCATGTCAACCCCATCTCCCCAGTAAACCCCCATCCGCCACTAGAATGTCACTCCATGAGACCAGGGACCCCACTGGCCCTATTCCCAGGTGTGTTCTCAGTGTCAAAACTAGAGCCCCACCCACACTAGTTGCTCAGTAAATATTTGTTGAGTGAACAAATGAATAGATCAGTGAACTAATGGTTCTTAGGCAGGCGTGGTTTTTTTCTTTTTTAACTTCTCTGAACCTTTAGTTTCTCATCAGTAAAAGGGAGATTGTTCTATAGTCTCCAGTCTCTTGTGGGGATAAAAGAGGTGATTTTATATTTGCATGTGGCCTGCAGTTTCTTTCCGTCCCCTTCCAAGCCTTCAGGTGCTCTCTGGGCAGTTCTGTAGACAGAGCGGAGAGTCCCCCTGCCCACCTGGAGATGCCATGTGTTGTAGGTTCCTGCCTGCGTTAGACTGTCAGCATCACCCTTCCTGGCCCTGCCTTAGAAAAGGCCCGTGGAAGGCCGGCGTTTGCTGAGTGGATAAGTGTTGTTAATGGTGAACGGCTCCTATGCCTCATTCTCCAATCGGTTCACCCATTTGGACTTCAGAGTTTCTTTGGGTGACTCCTAGGCCTTCCTGCGGGATGGCAAGAAGGTCCAGTGTATTTGGGGCTGAACATGATCAAAGTTTGAGTGAGACTTACGACAACTCCCCAAGAGAACATTGGTCTACTCTGCTTGTCAGCCATAAAGAGGCTGACACTACAAATGGGAGAATAAAGGAGTTATTTAAAAATGCAGGTGCCCAACTTGAAATCCTTCAAGTTAGTATGGAGCTGGTGTCTGGTATTTCAGAGGTGGGAACGCTGTCCTCGCTGTGTTTTCAGAACAGTTCAGTGTCTCTGAGTTTCAGTTTTCCCACCTGAGAAATGAGAGGGGTGGGAAGACTCCCCGCAATCTTTTCTAGTTCTGACATTTTCACGTGGTATGAGAGCAGTGGAGAGGGTAATAAAAATAGTTACCACTTACTAATCCTCACAGCATGAAGTAGGTACTGTCAGAAATGCATTATGTTTAGATCTGGAAACGACTTTCTCAAACACACACACACAGATGTGCACACATAATGCACATGGATACACACACATGCACGTGGATGTGCACACATGTACATGGATTCACACATGTGCACACGGATATGCACACATACACGTGAACATGGATACACACGTGTGCACGTGGATATGCACACGTACACACATGCACGTGCACACATGTGCACGTGGATATGGACACGTACACACATGCACATGGACACACGTGTGCACACATACATGCACATGGACACACACATGCATACACGTGCACGTGGATATGCACACATACACGCATGCACCTCAAATTCATACAAGGGTAGATGAGACAGGACCTAGATGAAGGGAGGTCAAAGAGGGGAAAATCTAGAACATTCATCTCCAGTTCCTTACCATTTATTGTATAAACATGCTGCCCACCTTATAAAACCATCGCTGGATCTCACGTGGTCCATGTTTCCTGACTTCAGGCTGTGATCTAAAACATGTTTCTCAAGCCTTGAAGTTTATGTAGGCACGGGGCTGAGGATTCATTTTTTGCAAAGAGATGAGGTACACTTTCAGCCCCTTTCTGCTGAGACTTTGAGTGTCAGGAAACACAGGGAGGAGGGACCCAGAGGGAGTGAAGAGAGAGGAAACTGGCCTTTGAACCCACTAGTTCAGGAGACCCTGAAACTCACAGGGCACCATGAATATTCCGAAGCACAGACAACGCAGGAACAGAAAGGGCCAAGTGATTGCTTCATAGGTGTCTCTTCTTTAAAGACTTGTTTGTTTATTTGTTTGTTTCTTAAAATTTCCATTTGCCTCCTGAAAAAGAAAGCTTGTGGCATTTCGACTTCCCTTGGAAGCCTCCATCAGCTTGTCCTGCTGGCCCATGATGCATTTGGGATGCCCCAGTGCTCCCAGTGTGGCTGCTGTAACAACTGTAGGGCATGGATCAGGAGGTTTCCTACCTCAGGTGGACCATCACTCAGGTCAAGGGAAAAAGCCTCCAAGTGGCCGTGATAGGATTACACAGGGGTTGCCTAGCTCACTGGACTTCGGGCTCCAGGTCTCCAGGCCAGGTTACCTACATTGATACAACCACCCATCACCACCTGCTACACCCAATAGTAGTAATACTTTCACAGCACTCCTCCCTATGTGCCAGGCACTCTTCTAATTAATCCTCACAGCAATCCTCCGAGTTGAATATAATTCCCATTGTACAGATGAGGAAACTGAGGCACAGAGAGGTCAATAACTTGTCCAAAACCAGAGTGCTGGAGAGTGATAGAGCCAGGCATGAACTGGGGTAGTCTGGTTCTCTCCAGACCACCCTGCACTGCCTTTCAGTTGCAAGATATTCTGACTCTACCCCCAGGAAGAAGTATGATCTCATGTTGAGTCTCCTCAGATACCACATGGCTGGACAGATAGCAGTCATAACGCTCACCCTTCATTTTTCCATTTCCTACGTTTTCTAAGCAGAGGAGTATTAGAAGGTATTGGGAGGAGACACATAGGGAGTTGGGGTTTAGGGGTGTTGGGGGCATTGGAAAGAGAGCTGACAGTTGGAGCAATGACATCAGAGCCTGTGATTCTCTCCCCCTTCCTGAAGGGTACAGACTAGATCCCAGAGGGTGAAAGTGGCTGCTCCAGGTCACAGGGTGGGTAAGCTTCAGGGTCATCCCTCACCCCAGCCCGACCTGACCGTAACCCCAAGTGTTTCACCACCAGGACACACTGCCTGGGTTTCCCTGGCAATTAGGGAAACTGGTGTTTGGATTTCACACACGCCTCTAGGAGAGAAGGAGGCATCACAGTCTCATAGACCTTTCCCTCAAAGGGACGTTAAGACCTCCACAAGCCTCCACCCGCAAAGTCAAGGGCCTAGTGTTGTTCCAGGCATGGTGGGCTGGTGGGTCGGAAACATGAAATGTTACCCCATGTCTCAGATGTCAAAACCTATTTACTGAAGTGCTTTCTTTTTTCTTTTTCTAGAACAGAGCCCAGCTGAAAGCCCTTTTCACCATAACAATAGAAGAAAAGATAACGGTAGGAGAAAATCTTTGACCTGGACACCCGCTTTATGCCCCCAGTGTGTCTTTTTATGTCTTTGGTGTGTGGTCTCTTGCTGTCCTCAGAGCCAAGGGTAGGGGCCTACCGCTGGCCTTAGCCTCCCAGACACGAGCCAAGGCTGGGGGCTCTGTGCAGTCTGGGGTCCCCCAGTGTGGCCTGAGGCTGTCTGGCTAGTTTCCTGGATGACCCTTTCATCTGGGCAAGACAGGTCAGTCACTGCCTGGACAGGCTGGGGCCTCACCCACCCATCAGCCGACTGGTACCCGCCCTGCAGTGTTCACCCCACGGCTAGTGGGTGGTCATGTTTTGTCTTCCCAGAGCTGCCCAGGGCCCTGCAGGCCTGCTTCTGCTGTTCACCATTAACATTTCTCCAGTTTTGTTCATCATTCAATCACCCACAGCTCATGCATTCACTCATTCACATGTTCATCAAGTGTTTATTCACTATATAACCACGGTCCACATTTCTTAAGCACCTACTAGGTGCCAGGCATCCTAAGCAGTCTTCATTTGCTGAATTGTGACATCTTCACCATAATCTGAGGGGATAGATTATATTTTAAATCACCTCCATTTCAAAGATGGAGAAACTGAGGCACACTTAGGTCAAGTCATTTGCCCAAAGTCACATGGCTAGGGTGTCAGTGTTCCCAAGACCACTCCCAGGTGCAGTGATTCCCTAGGAGGGCTCACAGGACCGCACATATAGTCTTACTCCGGCTGATTTATGACAGAGAAAGGATGCAAAGCAGAATCAGCAAAGGGAACAGGGACTCAAGGCAAGGTCTGGAGGACACCAGGTGCAGGCTTCCAGGGTCCTCTCCCAGTGGAGACCCGTAGGACATGCTTAATTCCTCTGGCATCAAGTTGTGACAGCACATGTGAAGTGCTGTCTACCAGGGAAGCTCATTAGAGACCCAGTACCAGGGTTTGTACTGGGAGCTGGGCATGGGGCACCCTCTGCCTGGTACCTCCCAGGAGGACAGCATGTATTCAGTGTACACCACATTCTTTGCCCAACTGTTTAGGCCCTGTGAGACCCTCTTATCAGGAGATGGTGGGAACCCTCTGAAACCTGAGTTCCCAGACACCAGCCAAGGCCCAGCACCTTGAGCAGGCCTCCCAGAGGATGGAATTCTCAGGCCTGCTGTGTGAACGCCATTCTGCACAGGTAGTGTTAGAATAAGATATGAACCCAGGCCCTTTGGCTCCAGAGCCCTGCTGCTGGGCAGTCGGCCACACTGCCTCCTAGTGAGCCGAATGCCTGCACACATGAGGCCGGCACAAAACCCGAGTCAGGCACACAGGTGCAGACAGTTCCTGCCGGGCGGCACCATGTCTGATTCCTTCCTGCATCCCGCATGGTGCCTTACATTGTGGGTGGCACTCAACAGGTAAATATCCCGTGACTGAGCTGATTGTTGTCAATGCTGCATGATTGCAATAAAGGTCGGTATTGATGAGCCCTTTCTCCGTGGCCCAGACCTCCTCACATGGATGGAGGCGAGCCATACCCAGGTCTTCAGGGCTGTCTCCAGCTCATTGCCTTCAGGAGAAACAGGCATAGGTGGTCCCCCTGGGCTGCAGACCCATGGGTACAAGGCTTGGCAGTGGAGCAATGGGTTGGATTTCAGCCTCGCTGGCCCCTGGGCCAGGTGACCTCTGCCTGTGGACCACGTTCAAGGAGGTCATTATCGAGTGGGGAGATGAGACATATGCAGGTGATGGCCCTAGAGTGTTGTGGGAACAACGGGCTCTTGCACCAGAGGCCACGACTTGCATCCCTGTTTTTCCACGGATTGTATGTGACCTTAGGCACATTACTTACCTCCCTGAACCTCAGTATCCTGGCTGTAAAATGAGAATAATAATAGTACCCGCTTCATAGGGTGGTCGTCAAAGTAAACGGATTGATGCAGGCAAAGCACTCAGCACAGTGCCTTGCATCCTGTAAGCGCTCAATAAACATCATCAGTATTGTTACACATGGAAATAACACTGCTGTGCAAGTGTTCTGTGTTAATTGCGAAAAGAATGTTATGTATCAGGGTCTCAAGCTTAAATTCCCACGAGGGCTGCGCCGGTGCTGTAAGTGTGTGAGTCAGGCCCACGCAAGATTCTAGGGTGCAGTGGAGTCTGAGGCAGCCTGGAGGTTCCGATCGACCATCACCCACCATCCCTCCCCCACACTAAACAAGGGCAAACAGACATTAAACAAGGGCAAAAAGCCAAACAAACCATGTACATCAGCTGTGACTGAACTTGTGAGGTTGTGACCCAACATACAGATCATAGGTGCTGGGGGGTACTGACAAGGGAGAAAGGGTGGGCTGGGCGGGCTGGGTGGATGGCAGGCCTCTTGGAGGAGGTAAGAATTCACTTGGATCTTAAAGGAAGGAGTTAATTAAGGGTGAAGGAGAGGTTTCTAAAATATGTATCTGAAGATCTGACGTCAAGGTTAAGCCTGTTTGACTGTCGGTTGGACGTGAACCAAGGTTTACTGGGCTCGAGCACAGTGCCTGGCATCTTTTAGGTATACGTAAGGAGGAGGCTCAGCCCTTGCCAGCTGCAGCGTGTGTTCTAGCACGGTTGACTTGGGCACCTGCAAAGATAACGTCGTTATACTAGGAAAGTGTGACAGTGATGAATAGGAGGAACTCAGCAGTGAGGTATAAGCTCCTCTGACATTTTTATCAAGCAGTTAAAAAATACAAAGCAAAGACATTGAGTAACCCATTGTGTAAACTGGGAACTGCAACACTTGGAAGAGACGCCATCACCTCCTTAATTTCTTATTAATTTCCTGAGGGTGAAACTGATAGATGTCAACTAAGACCCCAAGAAGCCTTCTTACCCTTTCTGCCTCCTGGATAAATAGAGAGGAAAAGAATCACTCCACCCTGTGCCGGACATTGAGTGCAGGTGTTCTTTTTTAAAAAATTGTATTGGAGTATAGTTGATTTTCAATGTTGTGTTAATTTCTGCTGTACAGCAGAGTGACTCAGTTATACATATGTATATACTTTTTCGTATTCTTTTCCATTGTAGTTTATCACAGGATATTGAGTATAGTTTCCAGTGCTATACAGTAGGACCTTGTTTATCCTATGGATAGTAGTTGAGTGGAGGTGTTCTGATTGAGCTGGACTTCACTCCAGCTTCTTGTAGTGAAGCTGGGCACCCTGCCAGGCACCAGAACAGGTCACCATATTTCACTGCAAGGATCTGAATCTAACCAAGAGAGGGACATTTAAACCAATTGTTATGTCACCCAAATTCATTTGGAGTATAATTCGAATAATAACAATAATAGTGGAATGTGGGGGAGGCATGTGATCAAATCAATCAAAGTTTCACCTGGAAATATAAATTTACAAAAAGCTAGATGAGAAAATTTCAAGATGAAGGGTAACAAAGGAGGATTTGCCCTATTAGCAGATATAAAAAATTAGAAAGCTATATTAATGCTGTATTCAGGTCCTGCAAAAAAAGTCAGACCAGTGGAACAAAATAGAATATCTACACATATGTATACATGATAAAATGATATTTCAAATCAACGGAAAGAGAATGTCTGATTCATAAACTTGGGGGGCAACTGACAGGATCTTTTGGAAGGAAAATGAAGATGAATTTCCTCAACAGATTTAAATCTAAATGGATAAAACAATTTTTAAAGAGTAAATATCGGTTCATATGCTATGAAAAAAAACCATGGGGCAAAACCATGGGTCTGAGTACACAAAATAGTTGAAAACTTTACATTTGAAAAGAGTATTAAAAAAAGGTAAGGGGTAAACTTGGGAAAATATTTGTAGCATACATTAAAAAGGATTAATGTCTTTATAATATATTATAAAGAGCTCCTATTCATTAATAAGATAAAGAATGCCTCAGTAGATAGCTATGTACGATATGAGGATTTCTCAAACACAAAGATTTACAATGTGTGCCCTTGAGCACAGTGGAGGGAACGTGTAACTCCACTGGCAAAATCAGGTGGCTTTGGGTTTAACTCAGAGGGCTGGAAGCATGCAGTCGCATATCATCACGTCTGCCTTCTCTGGGTCACTTTTTCTTTGGATGACTTACCAGCCTTCTGCCTGTTCAGTCCTGCTCCCCTCCAGCCCATCATCCTGAAACACCAGGCTGCTCACTTTCTATTCTGGAGGGGCTCCCCATTGCCTGCTGGATAAAGCCCAATTCCCTTAAGTCAGGATTCAAGCTCCATCAGGAAAGGTGACCTCTGCTATCTCCCTATGCCGTGGGGTTCCTGTGTTTTCCACATCGCTCCGGTTTTACACATGCTGATCCTTTCCTTCCTGTCCTCTGGCAGCTCATAAACATCCTGCAGGACGCTGACCAAATTTCTCCACCTCTGTGATTCCTTCACATCCCCCAAGCAGGCTGGTGGCACCCCTTGCTGGGATCTAGTGGCATTGGGACATCTGGTAAACCTTGTCACTCTGTGACACTGAGATTATTCCCCTGGTTGGCACCTAATACATTTTTGTTGACATCAGAATAGAATTTTTGCCCAGGGGGAGACTTTAAAGATTATCTAGTTTTACTTCCTCATGTAAGAGTGAAAAAAAACTCAGGTCCTGAGAGCCTTTGGGAACTGGCCAAGGTCCTGAAGCTCGATACAACATTGAGGAATGGAATCATGCTGTGCGGTTTGTTCTGTAGTCCCAGCCTTATTCACTGGATTGTAACTTACAGACCTCTGTTAGTGAGTGGGATCGTCTCTGTTTATGGTTACCTTCAAGCTCCTGCTCTTGCCAGAGTTATCAGAGTCTCTGGCCTCAGAGCTGCCCCTCAAGGGCTGGGGGACAAGGGTCAGCAAGTCACTGACTCCTGTGCTCCTTCAAGCAGTTGAAGGATTTCAACTAAATTACTCCTAAAATGTCTTTCAGAGAAATCATTCTGCATGCCCTCCCCTTCAAACATTTCCTGGTTTGGGGAGGGGGTGGGAT